TATTGAAATTTTAATCTTTAGTTAATAGTTAAAAAAATACTATTTACAGTTTAAATTATCTGCCAATATGCATGATGAATCAGCTTCAATTACATCAATAAATTATGATTATGATGAGCGCATTTACCTGATTTGAGGAACATCAGTAAATGACTAGATTTGTTCAACTGCAAGACACAGTTACAAAAAATTATGTGTTATCTGATTACATAAACCTCACAATTTTCATCTTTTCAGCGAAAAGTGAACTATGTACATACCTCCAGATGATCATATATAATAATAACGAAAGAAAATATTTGCTAAAATAGAAATTAAAGTGCTATTATTTCGAGGAATGAACAAGAGGTTGTGCATATAGTGCAAATACGGATCATAATGAAAAAACATTTAGCCCCGATGCTACTCAGTAATAGCCTCTCCTACGCAAAAATGAACCTCCAGCATAATTAATACATGATACTTGAAAAATAACATATTTCTCATTCAGAAATTTCGTACCTTTCACGAAATGACTAAGAAAAAAGATTTAACTTGATTAAAATAATATTCGAAAAATGTACCCACAAACTTAGATGACACATTGGCTACAAAAAGCGAAGTTTAATGGGAAAAGTGGAGATTTTCCCATTTCCCTTCACAAACACCGATTTTTTTAAGCAAATTCATCACCTATAAATTTTCAACTGACTAACGAATAATAAAAATCTAAATGTTGAAGAGACATTAGGATTTTTTTTTTTTTTGGAAGCCGGAGAGATGAAAAATGAGCAAACGCTTTCGCCGGGAATCGAACCACGGACCTCTGGAATACCGGCCTAGCGTGCAGAACTACTACACCACGAAGGCACGCTAGGAAGGCGGGAGAAATACCTTACATCCCTCTTTTAAAGGGCGAATGGGGTTTTTAGGGGACCCAATCGCCAAAATGCTGGGTGTGGAGAATTCGCATCCAACACCCTTTTAGTTTGGGCGCCACTGTAGAGACATTAGGTTAATTGGAAAAGCCAGTGAGATGAAAAATTCGCAACGCCTTCGCCGGGAATCGAACCACGAACCTCTGGATACCAGCCCAGCGTGCAGAACCACTACACCACGAAGGCACGCTAGGAAGAATACCACGCTCTTTCTACGAGAAGTTAACATTATTATACGTAGCAATCCAAATAATATCGATATTGCAGTCTCGAGATGTAATAAGATAACACATTCAGTTTATAAGGTATTTTATCTCTCTTCCGTCATGCCTTCGGGGTGTAACGGTAGCACACTCGTCCAGGTTCGAGTCCCGGCTAGGGCGTTGCTCGTTTTTCACGTTTCAAGCAACCAAAGACCCTAATGACTTTACTACAAGTTCTCTAAAAAAAATTTTATGAAAGAATGAATTTCTAAAGAATTATGAAATTTCTAAAAGAAATCTTTTATCGTTTAGACTCGCTAAACTACGTTCTTTAAGATGATGAAACGTCAAAACATTTCTCTTTTATGATTAGGATGAAAAAAAGTATGACTTTTCAAGCAAAAAAGCTTTAAGCTCCAGGCTAAACACAATTTCTTTCATGGGATAACTTTAAAAAAAATAAAAAGTGCTTTCGAATCGTTTCAAAAATTTGTCAAATTTCGAATCATATTTGACAGTGGGATAACCTATTTTGTCGCAATATAATATAAAGAACTTTCTATTAAAAAATGTAAATCAAGAATTCGGATAATTTAAAATAGTTGAGAAATATGGAAAATAAAGTTAATAACAGTGGTACCTTGTATACGTCTGCTTTGAAAATACGTCCAATTTGTGCACTTCATGTTTGTACTCGATTTGTTTGGTATACTATATTTACTTGAAATATGGCTCGAGTTTTCTGAATCGCGACTGCTCACATTAGCTCCGTTTACTTCTTTCGTGTGACTACCCATGAGCGTCAGGATGTTTGTTGCTGTTATTCGGTGATTAACACGCTTTATAACTCTGAATTTACTTGTGGTTTTGTATTTTTTCGAGAAAATATTTTATGAATTCATTAACAGTGAGTTACAGGAAACTTAACGAAAAGAGTCAAGAAACGAAGAAAATTGTTGGGATCATTATGGAGGTAATCATTATGGAGATATTGTTGAAAAATATGACAATCATATTCGGGACTTGGGTTTTGCATACCATTATGCAGATAACGATGGTAGCTAAGACTGTGGAAAACAAAGATGCTGTTGAATAGCTAACGTTGCGAAGGCGGTGAAATCGATTGCCAAGCAAAGAAGAGAGATGTTAGAGCATGTTGAAAAATTGCTTCTGACTTAGATAGCGGGAAAACATTTAAGTTCAGTATTATGTGCAGGGCTTCATTTACGTACAGTATATATTTTCCCATACTGCATTTGTATTTTAGTACTAAACAGTGTTATAATAACAATACCATTTTTTCATAAAGCATTAATTATTTTCCCTTTCTTTCTTATTGCTTCGTTTGTTATACGTCCAGGTTTGGTATAAGTTCAAGGATATGGAAAGAATGAATGATGTATACTGCGGCACCACTGTATACTGTTCTCGACAGCAACTTAAGAGAAGTTGCGTAAAGATTTTATGAAATTTGCATAAGAGTAATTTATACGACGCTTATTGTAATTGTGTAAATAGTCCTCAATTCCCTCCTTTCTAGTAGGTAACAAATAGTCCTTCCTACATTAGTGGACAACTACGTTTTCTAACAGCAGTTATTTCGCCCTTTCATCCAAAATCTCACTAATAATCCAGTTCATTACAAAACAATTACCAGCATTAATAGATACTTTAAATTAAAAAAAAATATTCTGATGCACACTTAATAAATCAAAATATTTCAGTATATGTCTTCAGTTTTACTTCTAATTCCAAGCGTTCATCAACACCTTACAAATAATAATCCTAGAACCAACAAGAAATATATATATACACGTATAAAGGATATTTAAAAGGAGATTACCGCATATCAACATAAGACCCTTTTCACATTTTAGATCTAGGATAAATTTTAAGAAATAAAAATATAGGTGATGACAGCATAGCCCTAACATTTGATTTTGGCTAGAATGAATGGTACACAAACTACCTAATCACAGAATATTTTACTATGGTATAAAAAGAATTCCTAATGGATGCGGGTTTAAATTGAAATCGCTCACCTAGACGACACTATTATAATTAGCATTAGTTACGCAGTTATATGCATATGGCAGTTACCTGTATGATTTACTTAATACTTAAACATATCAATTACATCATATAGTATGATAATTAACTCCATCTTCCCACTCTGCAATTTCATTTATTAAAACACTTGATTATAAGACTATTTTAAAACCAAACTTGTAGCAAAGAATGGAGAGTTCTTATTTTCGAACAAATACGATAACATGGGAAGACTGATGGACACAAGTTAAGGAATGAATCAAATGCCCATAGGCTTTCAGACCGTGATAATTTTGCTTCCACGATACCTTTTAGTAAAAATATGCAAAATTAATTTTTTTGCTAAATTTCTAATTCAGTAATATGTTTCTTATACAGTTAAAGGAGGGGGGTCGTTATTGTTCAAAATTAAGATTGCAAAAAACTGATAAAATTACTTAGTTAGCACCACTTCTCCCCCCTTTAGGTGCTAAAAATGTTGATTTTATTTAAATAATTGAAAATATTTAAATAAATGAACATATGATAGAGCTAGACTACTGGGCTTAGTGTAACTTAAACGCCTTTTGAAATGTAACTTAAACGGCACACGTAACTTAAACCCCTTTTGAATCAAGAGGACATGTATATAAAAAGTTAGAATAAAATAAATAATTGACAGGCACAATTCAGCTCTTTTTATGACTATTTTATTAATACGTTTAATGGTTGATATACTCTATTTTAATTACACGAGAAACATCTCATTAAGCAATTTTTAAAGACAGAATGGGTCGTATAAAACATCAGTTTCGTATAAAACATCAGTTTCGTATAAAATGTCAGCCGTATAAAACAAAGTTCAAATTTTAGCAGCATTACGAATGCTAATTTGAAGCCAATGTTCATGCCTTAATATTATTCTATAACGTAAAACATATCTTTTAAAACCCGCTTTCGAAAATTTAACAAGCGGAGCTATCTTTAACAAATTTATATGTAAGCCAAACATTTTAATTAATGGCATTTCGGAAAATTTTAATCGAGTAAAAATACAAATCTACTTTTTGGACGGGGTTGAGTTAGAAACTATTTTTTCTTTTGTTATTCCCCCTCCTCACAAGGCGGTTTCTTTTTACGTATCTTTACAGAAAGGTATTACGTGACCAGAATTATCTTAGAATGAATATCTACTCTATCTGATTCAGTTCTTAACTTAGAATCATTGGTCTACGACCAGAGGTTTAGCTAGGGTTTTCAACGCCCGCAGACAGCTGAGGATTGCTTTCGCCCCTTTCCTCTGTTTCCAAAAATGTCCTTTGGATTCTGCGCTCAGGAACGGGTGTCTCTCCTTGTTGCTACGCGACCATCTATGACCGATTATTCAAGACACATTAAGCAATATAACCTAATTTAAATAACCTGTAAAATAAAAGTGCAGTTATATGAAGGTTGCATTGATAATGCTGTACCAATGAATCCGACATCAAATGTGATTAACACCTACTAGAAATACGTAGTGCTTCCTTTTACAATGCATGAACAATATTGCGATCGAAATTGTCACGATATGCAAAATAATACTAGATTTCGATCTTGGCAAATGCAGAATTTTAAAAGTGGAATATTCCGTTAAGAATGAAAGAATGATTTTATACACACAAACGGGAAAGAGCTTTTAAATCTGCAACAAAAAAGCCGTCTTTCTGTTGATGGCGCCATCTATTAGAAGATGGTGTTACTAAAATCTACCCCGACAACTCCACGTACGCAAAATTAATTGATGAAACTATGATTAAATCCTTTTCAAGTCGGAATTTACATAATTAATGCTAAATTCGAAAGAACAAACTTACCTGCTACTGAAAGCCAGAGCCAGCTGGTCGATAGCATCAAAGAAATTCGAAGGGTCAGACTTTTCGTCTTCATAGTTGTAACCTAACAAGACAAAATTTCGGTTAACTTCACTCATGAAAATATGAAATAGAATGTAAACAGAAACTTTATACAGAGGGGAAAATATAACTCTATAATAATAATAGTAATTTCAAATACAATTTGTTTTAGCGTGGAAAATTTAACGTAAAATTTTGCTTTCAGAGACTGTTCATGCTTTTTGGAGCAGGAAACATGAAGCCTCAACAGCGCCCTCACTAAGATTCAAACTGAGGATCTTCCTCTTGCTGGCTAGATATAATAATCACTTACATCAGCCAACAAAATCCAGATGGTGACAGATTATCATACTTCACCTTTTTATTTAGGTATCACGGTAAAGGCTCTTGGGCTTTTCGAAGTAAGAAACGTAAAAAAGTAAAATGGGACATCGGCAGAGATTTGAAACACCAATCTTTCAACGCAAGAGACGCTGCAACTAGTGCGGTCACACCGGGTGGCAGAAAGTACGGGGAGAAAAAAATCGGAAATATGAAAAAGCATCGAAGAAAAAAAAAATTAAGGATTGACTTAAAAAAAATTAAGGAGTTTAGGAGAAGCACTGAGCAGCAGAATTTAGGGGCATCAAAAATTATAGAATTGAGGGAGGCAACGGACAGCAAAATTTAGGACCTGCCGAGATTGAACCGGGCGACAAAATGCCTAGCAGCGGACTTGATTATACTGGACTTAATAATATCTCCCAAATTCCTGATTTCATGGAAGGCCAGCATTTCTACACAAATACGGGTATTCACCCTATTTCTGCATAAATACATTTCTGCTTAAATTCACCTCGATTTCTATATGCCTGTATTTCTGAATATTTTATATACTTGTATCCTTCTATTTTTATATATTTTGAATGCTATTAAAAACGCCATCTGTGAGCTTGAGAATTTCTTTCCGAGGATGCCGTTTTGTATTTCGCCAAGAGTCACAAAATACAGAAAATGGTATATTCGTTTCCCATTCCCTTCCGTTTTCTCAATTCTGATATCCATGAAAAAAATAATGTAATAATTCATATTCGCTTTTCCCAGTCCAACCGGTCATGCTATGAAGGGATTCCGGTAACTAATCTTGGTCGTTCGTAAATGTTTATAAATTAAATTCTAAGAAACTACACTGTTATTTGTTGAACATATATTGAATCTAACACGTGAGTTACGTAATTCGGCTGCAAAATAATTGTCTTTGTACTGTAAGTGAAATAAAAGCATACAAAAAAATTTATATTTTAAATTTTAAAAAAATTCAAATTTTTTACAGAAAGTAAAATTGCTTCCTGTAAAAAAACTTTGACGTGGAAAGAAAATATTGGAGCTGATTAAAATATTTTGTTGACAGCTCTGAAGTTCTCTAATTTGGTTTGTTGGGAGAGAAATTTTTTATTGTGGAAGTACTATTTTGATTGAAACGAATGAGTTGTTTTGAAGTTAACATGCTGTTTTCCTAAGCTCCATAAAGAAGATACATTCGATTATTGCGTAAGTTGTGACGATTCTTCAATAAAAAAATAACACTGTAAGCTCATAAAAGTTGAAAATGATTTTACAAAATGTATTCATTAAATAAAAAATTAATGAACAGGGTTACGAAGGTAATTTTTTTTAATGGGTGACTAAAATGTTCATATCTCTGCGTCTAAAGTATAGACAGATCTAATTTTGAGTTTCTTATACATTGCTCAGTTTATTAATACACGAGTATACTCCTTTGAAAATAAAATGCATAATTCAACTTTTTGAGAAAATCATTTGACATTAGGGCATTAAAAATTAATAACATCTTTCTGGACATAGAAGTAACAGAACGTCTCGTATTCGAATATCACAGGCATGTGCCACTTTTTCGGAAGGTAAAAACCGAATTCTTTTTTTAACTGTTCCTTTAAAAATTTTTAAATAAAAAAATTCGACGTCTCTGATTTCGAGCAGCCGACTCAGCAAGAGTTTTCGAAAGATAATATATCTTCCGATGATCGTTTAGTTCGCCCTTCTTTATTTCTGGTGATCTATTATTATTCAATACTGCGAAAGTTTTAATCATTTTGAAAGAAAAGTGTTTTTTAGAAAAACATTTCTTATTTTTGCGGCCACATATAAACTTTTTGATCATATAATTTTCAAAATTCTTTAATTTGATATCGATGATTTCACAATCTTCTCTTTGTTAATAATACTCTTCCACGCCAGTTTTCACTAAACAAAAGTTCGTTAACACTACCATTTCTTCCTCAATGATTTTTGAATCATAATATTAAACTGAAATTATATTCAAATAAATTTTAGATAATAAATCGATACAAAATTTCTGGAAGTGAAGTACACAATATATGGCATTAGAAAGATGATTTTTATTAATTATGCTAATAATATGATAGTACTAGTTGACACTGAAAAGTACCAGAATATTATTAAGGAATACTTTGTGCTGTTACTTTAATCGACTTTGTTGTATTGATAAGTAGTGCGTTGTTTTAATTTTAAAGATAAATATTTCATCCTGTGTGATTTAAGAACATTGCTTCTTGAATGGCATCATTACTGCTGATGTTTAATGCAATGTAAGACAGCAATTTGTCAGGCCGCAGTAATTATTCCAATGAAATGTGATTTGGTAACGTGAGGTTGCATGATGTAAAAGTGAAAAAACATTTCTAACATCAAAAACAGAGAGTTTCATATCAGTGTTTCATTTTTTATTATCATCTCGATTATTTTGTGTTCTATATTAATGCTCCCATATTAGTGCTCCGATGTTTCATATAAGGGTTGATTCCTGAACTGCTCTGACTTTTGTACCAATTACACTTACTATCAAGCCTAACATACTCAAATTATGAGCTTTTCTGTCCAAAATAATGTTACTTACTGCCTTGCATACAAACATATATATATACACAAAAATATATCCTCAACTGCTTATGTTTCATCACTATATCTTAAGCCTATAACCGTAAAATATGTATATTACTATCTGCCCTTCTCGCCACGGTAATAACCTCAGAGCATGTTAAGGTAAAACCACAAACTAGGTAAAACATTAAAAGTTTCGATATCCAAAAAGTAGCTTTAAATTGCACGTTATTTTCTGTGGCTCTGAAATGACATTCCCGAAAATCTTTTCTAGAAGACTGACAGTTGAGAAATCGCACATTTAAAATAACTTTCTTTCATGAAAGCGAAAACGCAAGTGGAAGATCTAAACTTCAAGCACGGATGAACATCCGATAAAACAGTGATGTTATCACTTGTATTTTAGAATTTTTACATGCATTTATGAACTTATTTCATAAAGATTTGGCAAAATATACGCTTTCTTTAGTTTTTACGACATTTATTTCGCTTTGTTCAGTTTTTAAAGCTTCACGAGCACGCATTCAGTTTTTCAATAGAAACTCTTCACTGACTCAGCAGCAAGCTATATAAATGTATATATATCCTCTCTAAAGCACAAGATTTCTTTTTTAATGGTATTTATTGTTCATGCTTTTGCTTTCAATTCAATCTGATAAGGATTGTTATAGTATGAAGCACCTTAAATCGCATATAGGTGTACATTAGTCTACAATATACGCATAAAGTTAATATACGTTACAATGTATTTGAATGCAATATAAATATACAACGTGATAAAAGAACGTCTGAAATATGTACTTGCAATGAATACGGTCTCATATAATTGTAAGAAAGCATAATAGACGATTTAATTCTTTTTTATGCGTACCTGCTTGCTCGAATTTGCTTTCGATTAGCTTAAACTTTATTCGCACTTCAAGACTTCCCCGAATATGATTATCATCGAGGTATTTGATTTTAATATCAAATACCTTGGCGAATTTTTGTGGTACGGAAGTCAAATCTTTTATGTTTTATATTTTATAAAGAACGCAAAATTCCTTTAAATATAAGTATAGGGATAAAAGGAACATGTGAAACGTTAAATTTCGTATTGAACATGAAATTAATTTTTTAAAAATTAAAAAATGCGAAAACATGAATCTTTGTATCATTTAAAATATTTTTGTAATAATTGGAAGTATGTATCTATTATCAGCGGTTGGGAAAATAAAGGCCGGGTTTTTGGACATATTATTTTATGTATAAGTACTGAAGAAATTCCCCTCTTTGACTACTTACTGTACTCAATCAAGTTAATTTGGGTACACCGTTCTCAATTAGTTTTCGTGCACCAGAGTAAATACGTTCAAGAATATGTTTTCAGATATGAATATAACAGAATGTATCAGCTACAATTTTGAGTTAAAATAAAGAAAGAGGTTGAGTTAAAACTAAAAAATAAAAAATTTGGCGGGAAAAGGATAATTTTCGGAATTTTTGCAGGTGCATTAAGGAGTTAAGCGGTAAAAGTTATACTAAGAAGAAATTTTTAATTCTTTTGCGAGTTTCACGATAACGGCTGCTGTTATCGGCTCAGGCATTAATTTTTATAGTTGTAATGTCATCGAACTAACCATACAGTTTCGATATTTTCAGTAAAGAAAAAACATACAAACCGTATGGACGTTTGTTCAGACGTAGCATTGCCACTATTACTAAAGCCTTGGCAAATAGATTAGCCATTGGCACTAAAAGTGTTAATATGAAAAAAAAAAAATTATAGTTACATGGTTGCTTAATCATAATAATTGGAAATTTTTTGGTTCACATTGTGTTAATACTATCTTAGATATTCATTTTACAATTTTACAAGTTAATTGGGATTTTCTGAATTTCGTTTGCAACAGTAATTAGAAGCATAAAATGCCAATATCCCATAGGAACAGATCCTCCATGTATAATCTTACATAGAACTTAGATGTTCTACTAAAAGCTTGAAAGTTGTTAGACCAGGCACTTCTTTTATTTTCTTAATTAACTAATAATTTCGAGCACTTTTTGAAGTTATTAATGTATCCACATGCACAGTATATGTAAGAAGTTTTAGGCTTGAATTTTTTCAACCAGTTCCAGCCAAGTTGTCAAACAATTACTGCAACTACTGGCTATGATTACATTACATTAACCTATTCTGCCTCTCCCCATTGACGTCAAACATTGTTAAGTAGTTTATTGCCTTGTCATCATAAAGTAACTGAATAATATAGTAGTTAGTGTTGTTAACTGCCACATCGTTGGCCTGGGCTCGAATCCCAGAGAAAGCCTGGATGTTTGTAAATATGCAGTGTTTTGCAACATGAAAGCATTTGAAATATAAGGCAAGCGGAAAGTCCTGTCGAGCGTTTTACCGGTAAGGAAAAATGTGGGTGAGATCCTCGGACCTATCCCTTGGGAGATTCTTCCGGAAAGTTGGGACGAAATCGTAATAAGTAGTTAAGTCGTTCTGTCACTTAGTATAAGCCCCAGGTCCCATGCCAACGATGAATGCAATCCGGTACTCCTGCTGATGTTACTATTAGAAAATTGAGATAAGATAGAACGGCAGTTATTTCTGTTACTATGCAGATTTCGAAGCCGTGAAATATTTGATTTTCCAAAAACGGTAATTTTCCCTAAACGGTACCATTTTGAAAGCATTTGACAAACAGTGAGAAAATGTAAATAGCAGCTCCAAGCAGATGATTTCTACGATGGCATTTAGAAGCATTATGAACGTGCCAAAATATGAAAAATATTAAAAGGAACATGTAAAATGAAACGATCAAGTTTTATCACCGGATCTCGCGTGTTTACGCATCTAGTTCTAAAACTTACAGGCACATGGTGTGTAAATTCTCAATATATTTACAAAAGCATTTAGTAGAAAAACAGATATTTTAATTTAGTTCATGCGAAGTAATCGTAACTAATGTTAAACTATTTGTGTAGATGGGAAAGAAATATTCATTTTGCATTGATTAATAAAATTATTCATTTTGCGGGGATATGCAAATTAGCAAAATTATTATCATTATTCGGCTGGAAATACATAATTTAAACAGGTGAATTAAAAATTAAAGTAAAAAAAACGCAGCAAAGTATTTTAAGGCTATTAATGAACGAAATGGGAAGGAAAGAACAAGTAAATTATGTTTGAATTTTGCCTAGTTTTAATGTTGTCTGGAAATAAAATAGCACAGAGATTTTTCGTAAGCTGTTCTGAAATTTGTAATATCCCATTTTGGCCTTTGCTTGAAATCTTACCTTTAACTTGCTGTATGAGAGTTCCTGCAGTCATAAGAAGTTCTGTCGATTGTATGGGAGGATATTTTTCTAAAATACTGCGCAAGATGCGCAGAACTTCGCCCAGTCTCTCGTGAGCAGCCACGCGCATCGTCTCCGTTTTATCTGAAAGGAAATAGAAAAAGAACAAAAAATTACTTCAGTAATTCCTTCAACAGTAATTATTCATTCTTTTATCAACAATTCGCATTTTTAAAAAGAAATAAACAATTTGCTAACGTTACCCAAAGAATTTGAAAATCTTTGTTTATTTTGACAATGCACAGGAAATCTGTTATTTGCCAATGTTCCCATTTGGAAATATTTACAGAACAGTTATTTAAATTATTGTATGTTACCAACTACAAACCGACCTGCGTATGAGCTGAGTGATAAAATTTCGCTGCAAAAATTCAGCCAAAATTCAAAGCCCGAGTACAAACTGAATTTGATGGAAAATATTCCTTTTATTTAATTGCTTAATTATTTGTTTCAAAAAAAAAATACTTCTGTAATTAAACTAGTTTAACACTGAAACCGAAGCATTATTACAAGAAGTTACAATTTTTATCACGGTTTTGAACAAAAAATATATATATATATAATTATTCATTGTTCAATAAAGCTGAAAATTATTTTATAAGGTATTTTTCCCGCCTTCTTAGTATGCCTTCGTGGTGTAGTGGTCTGCACACTCAGCGCGTAATTGAGAGGTTCGTGGTTAGATTCCCGGTGAAGACGTTGGTCATTTTTCAATCTCTCTTGCTTTTAAAAAATACCTAATATCTCTACAATTTATAGCGACGAAATTAGTTATTTGCGATAAATTTTGTGTTAAACATATAAAAATTTCGAGATTCTTATTCTAACTACGTAGAGACTACGTCTAACTACGTCGACGTAGAGAACTCTGCGAAGCTACTGGCTAGGATCTGTACCTAGGCAGTCTCGGCCACGAGGGATAAAATTTATGAACTTGGTGGTTCTGAAGCCCCAGGGAAAGGTCATTTATTCGCCGGCCTCGGGGACTGGCATGTCCTGAGCGGTGTGGAACCGTAGCCGGAGGGCTTGGTTCCTCCCGGTTTGCTGGGTAACGGCCCACTGCGACGGGCTCGCCCATGCGACTGGTAGGAGCATTAGACGACCGGTGCTGCCTGGTGAATTCCAGGTGGTGCGCTGCTCCTCTGGAGGGTAATAGTGGAGGTTGAACCTCCACGACTTGCCCAAAGGGGGAGTAGACCTGTAGTGTGATTTAGTTCACGGGGCAGGGAAGCCTAAAATTTGTTTGTTTATTTGTTATGCTTACATCAATATACGATAAACACGTCACAAACCTATACTAGTTTTATTCGCATATTTTGCAATGAATGTAAACTATAATCAACTTCCTAGGCATCACAAATATCAGCAGGAAAAGAGGAAAGAGAGAAAGGTATAAACGAACTCTGCATCTTTTACAAGCTATTATAAACATTTATGAAGAATGTTTACCAAAACGTTAATTTTTGCAGAAATTCAGGGGCCTAAGGTAAGATTTTATCAAAGAGAACAAACATCACGTCCTACTCCTTATTTGAGACAGAACTTGTTTGTTTTCATTCTGCATTGCAGACAAATGTCTAGACTTCATATAACATGAACATAAATTTTAATCTGAAGTTGAACAAAGAGCAGCTCCTTGGAATGTGAAGTTTTTCCAGAAAACCAGAATGCTTTGATATGTTACATAAGCATTATTTTGTTTTCTTTGCTTTTAGAAAATATATTTTTCTGAAACGAAAGTTATGAAACCCTGTATACATTTCAACAACTAAAACCTACAGAGGGTGTTTACACATTTAGGAACGATTTCGAGGTCATTTAATTAATATTTAAAATGTTAAGAATATTTTTTTGAATGTTCTGGTAGCCTTTTATCTGGACTGCATCATGAATCTGCATTATGATTTCCATGATAGAAGAGCTTTTCGTAAAATTTCTAGAATCATTGATTTCCAACCCTCTTCCACTACTTCCCAGAGTCTTTTAGAAAATATTTTTTTTTTCTAAAACGAAAGTTATGAAACACTGTATTCTTTTCAACAACTAAAACCCACAGAGGGTGTTTACACATTTAGGAACGATTTCGAGGTCATTTAATTAATATTTAAAAATGTAAAGAATATTTTTTGAATGTTTGGTTGGTAGCCTTTTATCTGGACTGCATCATGAATCTGCATTATGATTTCCATGATAGAAGAGCTTTTCGTAAAATTTCTAGAATCATTGATTTCCAACCCTCTTCCACCACTTCCCAGAGTCTTTAGAAAATATTTTTTTTCTAAAACGAAAGTTATGAAACACTGTATACTTTTCAACAACTAAAACCCACAGAGGGTGTTTACACATTTAGGAACGATTTCGAGGTCATTTAATTAATATTTAAAATGTAAAGAATATTTTTTTGAATGTTTGTTCTGGTAGCCCTTTTATCTGGACTGCATCATGAATCTGCATTATGATTTCCATGATAGAAGAGCTTTTCGTAAAATTTCTAGAATCATTGATTTCCAACCCTCTTCCACTACTTCCCAGAGTCTTTTAGAAAATATTTTTTTTTCTAAAACGAAAGTTATGAAACACTGTATACTTTTCAACAACTAAAACCCACAGAGGGTGTTTACACATTTAGGAACGATTTCGAGGTCATTTAATTAATATTTAAAATGTAAAGAATATTTTTTTGAATGTTTGTTCTGGTAGCCTTTTATCTGGACTGCATCATGAATCTGCATTATGATTTCCATGATAGAAGAGCTTTTCGTAAAATTTCTAGAATCATTGATTTCCAACCCTCTTCCACTACTTCCCAGAGTCTTTTAGAAAATATTTTTTTTTCTAAAACGAAAGTTATGAAACACTGTATACTTTTCAACAACTAAAACCCACAGAGGGTGTTTACACATTTAGGAACGATTTCGAGGTCATTTAATTAATATTTAAAATGTAAGAATATTTTTTTGAATGTTTGTTCTGGTAGCCTTTTATCTGGACTGCATCATGAATCTGCATTATGATTTCCATGATAGAAGAGCTTTTCGTAAAAATTTCTAGAATCATTGATTTCCAACCCTCTTCCACTACTTCCCAGAGTCTTTTAGAAAATATTTTTTTTTTTAAAACGAAAGTTATGAAACACTGTATACTTTTCAACAACTAAAACCCACAGAGGGTGTTTACACATTAGGAACGATTTCGAGGTCATTTAATTAATATTAAAAATGTAAAGAATATTTTTTTTGAATGTTTGTTCTGGTAGCCTTTTATCTGGACTGCATCATGAATCTGCATTATGATTTCCATGATAGAAGAGCTTTTCGTAAAATTTCTAGAATCATTGATTTCCAACCCTCTTCCACTACTTCCCAGAGTCTTTTAGAAAATATTTTTTTTTTTCTAAAACGAAAGTTATGAAACACTGTATACTTTTCAACAACTAAAACCCACAGAGGGTGTTTACACATTTAGGAACGATTTCGAGGTCATTTAATTAATATTTAAAATGTTAAGAATATTTTTTTGAATGTTTGTTCTGGTAGCCTTTTATCTGGACTGCATCATGAATCTGCATTATGATTTCCATGATAGAAGAGCTTTTCGTAAAATTTCTAGAATCATTGATTTCCAAACCTCTTCCACACTTCCCAGAGTCTTTAGAAAATATTTTTTTTTCTAAAACGAAAGTTATGAAACACTGTATACTTTTCAACAACTAAAACCCACAGAGGGTGTTTACACATTTAGGAACGATTTCGAGGTCATTTAATTAATATTTAAAATGTTAAGAATATTTTTTTGAATGTTTGGTCTGGTAGCCTTTTATCTGGACTGCATTATGATTTCCATGATAGAAGGGCTTTTCGTAAAATTTCCAGGATCATTGATTTCCAACCCTCTTCCACTACTTCCCAGAGTCTGTCAATCGTGGTGCTTTGCGCTTAGAATGAGTTCTTTTCAAGAGACCAAAGGCACAATAGTTCATAGGTCTTCAGTATACTTTTGTTGTGGCATTAAGTGTACGTACTAGATGTGACAGATGAAGCAAAATGCTCTCAGACTTCTGACGGTTCGTTGGGAAAAAAATTATACTTTTTCTCTGGCTGTCCAGAAACCTACGCGGTGTCTTTATGAAATACAAAGCTGATTTTTGTCAATCAATTCCAGTCTACTTTCCAAATAACTACTACTAATATTAAGCCTCAGCCTTTTTTTAAACTATCAGGCAGAAGATTTGATGGAAATTTTAAACTTATGCAGTCTATATCTGCTGTTACGAATTCAAACGGTGAAAATGAAAGAATTTGCTTGCAAGAGCAGAAGCAGAGAGCTTTCATAATTTCATAATTCATAATTTCATAACCACCGAGGCAAACCGCAAACACCGTCCGCGCTCTCGATACTTCTTTTTTAAAAGTTCAAATGAAGAACATGCTGGATTTTTTTAAAATATTTATTTACAGAGAATAATTCACAAGAAGATTTTGCTATATTCACTCTGTGTTCCACAAAGAAGCAAGACGCAATTTCTGAAAAGATTGTAGAGACATTAGGTTATTTCGAAGCAGGAGAGATGAAAAATGAGCAACACCTTCGTCGGCACTCGAACCACGGGCCTCTCGAATACGCGCCGAGCGTGCTGACCACTACACTACGAAGGTGGGAGAAATACCGTATACATTCCCAATTTCAAAGGGCGACTGGGGATTAGGGGACCCAATCGCCAAATCCTTGTGGCGGAGAATCATCATCCACCATCCTTTTAGTTCGGGCGCCACTGTAGAGGAGACATTAGGTATTTTTTTTTTGGGGGGGGGAAGCAGGAGTCATGAAAAATGAGTAGTTTCACATCTTTTCGAAGACTTACTGGCTGACATAAGTATGCCATTCATTAAAAAGATGCGTGATTAATAGCATAGGACGGTAAGTAAGAGGTGGGCGAGACATCATTTCATTAGTAGTTCTGTTAGGTGGCCGCAGGCTACGTCACACTGGTTCCTGGGCCGAAACCCTATCGTAGTGGTATTGTCCGACCACCCTAACTTGTACAGCTCCGCTCCAGTTTCGATGAAGAACACTCGGGGGTAGGATCCAAGGGTCTGATCCTCTTCTTTCCTTTTTATTCTGCCTCTTGAGAGGTCCTTGGGCTCGCTAGTGATTTTAGTTCCTCGGTGCCGCTCAGACAATATATTCTTACAAACAGTTGTGCCTTATTGGAGGTGTCAAGGCAACAACAAGAATCAACGTAATATTCGTAAATTACGGGACTAATTTTGAAAGATTAAATTATAGAGACATTAGATATTTTTGGAAAGCAAGAGACAAGAGAAATGAGCATTACTCGCCGGGACTCGAACCACGGACCTTTCGCATACGTGCCGAGCGTACTGACCATTACACCTCGGAGGCATGCTAAAAAGGCGGGAGAAATACCTTATATACTCGGATCCAAACGCCAAATCCTGGAGGTGGAGAATCATCATCCACCACCCTTTTAGTTCGGGCCCCATTGAAGAGACATTCGGATTTTTTTTAGAAGCAGGAGACTTCAAAAGCAACACCTTCGCCGGGACTCGAATCACGGGCCTCTTGAATATGCGTCGAGCGTGCTGACCACTACAAGAAGAAGGCGAAAGAAATACTTTATAAGATTTATTTACATTAGGAATTTATTTTTGGTGCCACTTCGTACAATACATTTATCAACAAGTCTTGATTGCGAAGAGAAAAGTTACTTTTATTAATCATTATTTTTCTTCCAAATTTGATATGCTATTGATTGATATTTGTCCTCTAAATGAGAAATAACTTTGAACCACATAATTTTGACATCACTTCATCGATTCAGAAACAACAAAATGAAAAGCATTCCACTATCTGACTTCCAGAAAGCATTCAGAAATTTTATATGATCATACCAGGAGATATACAACGTTAGAAGGCATGTACGTAGGAAGATTATCAATCATAAAGGGAATTTCCTTCAATATCAGGTTTTTCTGAATTCAGACCTAAACCTTTATAGGCCACGATATATAGTATTTTCGATTTCGTATCCCTGCACAAAAAATAATAAAAATGAACGCAAAAGTAATGTACAGCTTACCTCTCTCTGGATGAAATATCCTCCTGAGCTTCCCCAAGGCCTCTTTGAAACTCCTGACATCGTGCGTCAGAACGATGATGTCTTCCTGTTCCACCACATGGCTTTCAGCTGAGCCTTCGCTGCTCACCGAGTTCATAGAGAGCGAGCGGGCGGCCGCCGTCGCCCCGGTCAACGAGGTGGCGCTGGCCCCACTCGCACTCCGGCTCTGAGAAGCTGGTGGTTCTGCAGCTGGGGCTGCAGAACTCGGGGCGGTACCTTCCATTCGAGAGGAAAGTCTGCGAACTGCGTATACTTCTTCAGCCGGGCAGCTCTGAAAATAAATGCAAAAGAATAAGATATTTTATGTAATACTCATAAAACACATCAAAATGTTGATTTGAAGAGTCAGTCTTTTACTACGCCACATTATAATATAGTGAATATCCACAAGAATTTAACTATATTACTGAAAAATTCAATTTCGAAGCTGCAGCAGCATCTTTTGGAAATACAGCTTTGCAACCTCTGAACATAACTAGATAAGCCTCAAGCAGAAAACTTTTGAAAAATTAGTACAATATTGAAATATATTGATTAAGCATCAACGCATATAGCTTTCACGCTTGAATAATGTGTATTAAATCGTTGCAAAAAGAGTGATCCCATGTTTTCAATTTCTGCTTTTTTAGTACCAAGTAATTTGATTTTTTTTTCAGCCCAGAAGACTGTTCAGCCACAATAATAATTTTCTTTCTTACTTCCTGTAGGAATCAGCTCAGAATTTTCTTCGGCAGATGAAACGAATAACTTGAAAATTTCAAAAAATGATATTCATTATGAAAATAATAATGACATGCACCTCTTTTTCTTACTGGCTCATAGGATTTTATTTCCCTTAAGCAGATAGGCCTAGTATGCTTTGTTATATTCAAATAATTCCAATTCAATCAATAAGATGCTATGCTGTAGAATTATAATTCTAATTCAGAAGAATTTTTTTTAAATGCGCTTTTAGCTTTGAATAAACATCAATTAAATATTTCAAATTCATATGTAGAAAGATGCCACACCTATTTCATTAGACTTAAATTTAGACGAAAATTCTGTATTAAACTGGCCTCTGGTTTACAGAAAGCTCTCTTTCAAGGATGACAGGCATGAAGTCCATTAAAACTTGCAATTTTTCTACACAGCTAACGCCAAAATCAAATTTTGAATAAACTTAAATTTTACTATTTTCTCTCAAAGAGCGAGGTATGATAAATTATAATATAAAAGGTAAGATCAATATTATGATTAGTATTAATTTTCTAGATATCGGGTGTGATTATTTGTAATATAAATATTTATAGAATTTATGCAAAATTAAAGAATTATTTTACATGAGATCGCACTATAGTTCTGGATAAATGTAAAGTTATATGGAAGAGACACATGCCATGTAAAATGTAAAATCAGAGGGAAAACTTAGAATGGCATAGATTTTTGCAAAAAAGGTTACCAATTCTGAGGCTGCTCACCTAGGTTTCTGCTTTTGAAGTAGTAAAATAGGTTTAATTTAAAAAATATTGAATTAGTTTAATGCCAGAAATTATACTACTTTTATTAAGAAAACTTTATATAGGATATCATTATTTTTAATCATAAAAATAAAACTCTAGTACTCTATGAAATTCTATAAATTATGTTCATTTATGTGCCCTGTTTCTACATATAACATTACCAAAAACAATTAACTTTTTATGAATGCCAGTTATACCCGAGAAGATGCCAGGTAACGTATTCAATTTTTGAAGCAGTTAGAATTAACTTCGGAAATCACAAAAGCTGTAATGATTAATTTTAATTTAGTCGATATAATGTCTAATAGTTACACAGGATATAATCAGTACATTGATGAATGAACTGAAATATGTTGGATTACTATTTCTTTCATCTTACTTATACAAGACACGCCGTTCTAATTCGTATAACAGTTCATAGAACTGATCGAGATCTCAAATCAGAAGGATAAGCAACTACAGAATAATAAGATGAAGGCCGTGACAAGGATAAAGCGAATGAGACGTTAAAGAAGACTACAATGAAGAGGGCCAACCTATGTAAAAACTAAATAACTGATTAAAAGAAATTATTATGAATAAAAATACTTCAATTCGAATTTATTAATTTAACGATATTGCTTCCCTTTATGCAGCTGTAATTAAAGTTCTTAAATATACAGTAAAACACTTATTATTTTAGACAATTCGAACCTGAATTACCTGGGATTGTACAGTACTCAGTTTAAACGGTAGACCTCACACATTTTGGATTAAAAACACTGTGCCAGTTTAAATGATGCCAATTTAAATCAGTTTTATACTCGTTTTAAAATAGTTTTATACCTCGTTTCATAGCTTACTAAATAAATAAAACACAGAAATATTGAGAAATATTTATGTACATTCATTATACTAATTCTATGTAATATATTATTTTAAATTAATAGTAAGTGACGATTCTTTTCCATTTTTAAAGCACAAATTATTACATGCATCATTTTCTTACATATAAAAGCTAATATTAAAATTACTATAGCAGAGTTATAATTTAAAGCTATTAGCTTGTACCCATTTAAAACAACGATCACATGTCCATTCATTTTGTATTAAATAGGGAAGGACACATTTATCTTTCTCTATGAAAGGGGAGAATTTTGGCATGTTAATGCCATATACCAAAAATCCCATACGAGAATAAAAAAAAAAAAATACATTTAGAATATACCAAATTGTTACAATAATGAAAATCTTACAAAGGCAGGATATTAAAGCATCGATTTCCAAAATTATAGTGTTATCTGTTTGCATGACACCAAAAACTGAAGCGACAATCTAGACGAAATGCTTATAGCTATAGCACATAGCCAAAGTGACACATTATTTCACTACGACCTACCAGACTATTTTCTCTTTCTGATTAAGCAGGGCTGCATATCTGAAGCATAGTAATACTGATTCTGATTAAAATAGGACATTTGCATGTCAGAAAAAACATCTTATTATACTTGTCTCGTCGTCCCAGGAACACTTCTCTCACGTGCGCGCGCCCTTGTAAAGATGACACAGATTGTTTAACTTTTTTAGCAATTTTTCTTCAGAAATAAACTCGTAAAAAACGAAAAACGTACTAATTTTTTATAATGTTTGGGATTAAAAATAAAGGCTATAAATATAAAAAATTAATTAAGCTATAATTTAGAGATGTTCCCCTCTTTCTAATGTTAATAATAAATTATTATCCCTCTCGACTCAGCCTTTTTATACAAAATAAACAAATAAAAATATGCAGCTACTCGAAAGAAAATATTGGTAAGAGGAAAAAGTAAAAGATACATACGAATTTTATGTATCTTTTAAATCTCATTTTGGAATCTGATTACACGAGCTAATTAAAACCAGGCGTGATTCCGATAGTTAAAATATTTAGAATATCAATATTTTCAAGAAACGATCTTATGAATATTAATTGTAGCTATAATTTCTTAACTTTCTAATAATAAATTAATGATTTAATCACTAATAATTCTGTGTAGTTAATAACTCTGCGTAGATAATAATTTAATAACTTTGTGTAGATAATAAGAGCTTAGAATTTTGTGCCTAGCATCAGCATTGTCTACCTTTAACCACACAGACGAAAGCTTTGCTATTTGTTCTAGTAGATTTAGCTAGACAGTGGCTAGATAGCTTTATTTAGTTAGATAGACTAATAGATTTAGCTTCAGTTCTAGTGGAGCTTAAACTAAATGCCACTGTCCGATTTTTCTCATTTTCAGATAGGTGGCTTAAACAGCAGTTTAATAAAGTCAGCTTCTTAAAGAAATTGTTTTATATCATCACAAGCTTTGACCTTTGAAATATTACAACAGATCTAGTGTTATTATTATTTTGGTTAATAACTTGGATTAATAATTGGATAATTATTAATTAGGAAAAATATTACTTTTCTTTCAAATATTTTTTATTTATGACAAATAAAAGGAGCAAAAAACCCTCATATACCCAAATGTTTGGCATTTTTTTGTCGTTAGAAATTGTAGAAGCATTTAAAGCTCTTCCTAACCTTTTTAAACATGTGTAATGGAATACATTATAATCTTAAAAAATTTTTACCTCAGAAATTTTTTCATTTCGCTAAAAATTATAATGTAGGTATAAGGCATGATAAAACGTCCTTGCTAGTGTTTCTATCAGCACAAAATTTGAATAATTGAATAATTTCGAATGTTAAAGTGTAAATTACAAAAGGGTACTGTCGAAGGCAAAGAAAAATCACACTATTTTCAGATCACACATTTACTCTTTCGTAGATTTGAAGTAAAGAAAAATGACATCATTTTTCACAAGTCAATTCAAACAGTTCAGATTCCAAAATGAGATTTAAAGTTATATTAATTTAAAGAAAAAGCTATTTTTTGTTCCAAAGAGAAACATTTTTAGTGGCAATAATAAAAGTAAATTGCATATTTTAATTTCTAGCATGTTTTAACTTCTAGACATATTTGGATAAAAAGTATCCTCCCCGTCCGTTCCAAGAAGAAACCGCGATTTTTGAAAACATAAATTTGGTAATCAAAATCTTGAAACGTCTCATAATGACGATAAGGCAAACAGATCACGGCACAGAAATCTTGTCGCTATAAATTCCCACTAACCTTGACTATAAACTATTTTCAGTTCCTAATAAATTTCAAATTAGATTTCAAACAAATAAAAATCTTCTATAATTAAAGATTGATTAAATGTTAAAATATGCTACCTGCCAACTCCTTTAGAAGAAAATCGACAATAGAGATACGGTAGCTAAATGTTTTTTAAATAATAAAGTTTTATATATTAAACCATTTTTCAAGTGACTAATTCATATCAAAAGAGAGATTTTTAAAGTGCGTACACGAGTATTGCCTTTTTTTCTCTCTCACATGACCCACTGATCTAGTAATTTCAAAAACAAGCCGAAAGACAAACTTGTCGAAATTCCAAACGTAATGATTTCCCTTTCCTTCGTGTGCAGGAGGGGAGGGGAAACGAGATGAAAAGATAGCTAGAACCACACACCAGTCAAACACAATTAAAAAAGCCAACAAAAACTTTCCTCTTCCTGTAACTTTGAAAAATATCACAAAGTGAACAAAATGAAGGCAGCTCAAAAAGATAAAATATCCTATTCTATTCTATTTGCGATGATTGAAGCAACCTTTCCAAATCTTTCTAACGTCCCTGAAAAGCAGGAAGATGAGGATACTCACACCTGTACGTTAACGAAGCGCGACATTCGTTAGGAAAA